ACGTTTCATTTTTGAGAAAGGAATGGATCCTCGAATATCCGAGGAAAGTCTGCACTGTGTCTGTGAGTAAAAGCTGCTATTAGCTGCTGTTGCCGACGCTGTGGCGTTCATGATTTAGCTATTACGGCTGAAAAAGCAAACTCCGGTGAATGTGCTTCCACGAAAGCTTTTAAAAGTGCGTGCATGCGTACAAGACTCCAACTAGTTTTGTTTTGGCTTTCCTGTAGCTGTACATTGGAACCAGAAAATGTGAGTGGCCCGTGTTTCTTCTGTATGAGCATTAGCAATTGGACTTCGCGTTAATACTTTAAAATGCAGACACGTAGACCTGGGAAGGAATAACTTTGACCACATAATTTTGGATTGGATTATGGCCAGGAAAATCGAGAACTAAGTTCTTCCACGTCTACCACTTCTCTCTTTTGTTCTGGCTGGATCTGAGAAATTCTTCAAACCATGCTGTGGCTGTGGCCTTACAGTTTTATATTTTAAGAAAATATTATTGATATATTTCATCATATTGTTAATAAAAATATTTGTTTATTATTTTTAATTAATATTTTTAGGATACTTATTAAAAACTAAAACTTATGCTAACGAGATACATTATAAAGAAACTTAAACAATTATATTTGTATTACCATTTTCTATAAATATCATAATATCGTAAATATTTTACACAAAATACGTAATTCTAACTTGTTCATTTAATTTTTGAAATATGTATTATTTTTAAACATTAGCTCTCCATTAAATGTGACAATCTGAGCTAAACAAAGAGGATCATTTTGTTTTTTTCATAAATGGTTAGAGTTTTTTTAAATAATATTAATATTTTTTCATGATGTGTACATATAATACTAATGTTTATTTAATTTTTTTAAGTAAATTAATCTTAATAAACATTTACTGTTTAATATTTTATTTTAATAAAATTAGTTAAAATATTAAAAAAAACCTTTGTTATTGACCCATTAATCCATAATCCATTTTAATTTTAGTTATTTGGTATTTCAACCCAAATATAAATAGGAAGGGATAAAACTTCTCACTTTTATTATGGTCAGTTCGCTTCAAGTTACTTTTAGTGGATTACTAATTAAAGGTGAACATATTTTCACACCCTAATTCTCATAGAATTCAAAATTCATTCTTTACTTAAATTTTGAAAAAAAATCAAAAACATTTTAAATAAGAGAGTTAATTTTTCAGCTGAGGTAATTGTATAAAAATTATTTTATTGGTTGATTAACTGATATGCTTGGAGATAAAAAAAATACTATCAATGAGTTCGATTTGGATGTTTTGTTCATAACTAATTGTCCTAATACATAATGGTCTTAACATAATTGTCCTAATACATAATGGTCATTATAGATGAAACCATCCTTGAAAATGGTCTTAACACTAATTTTGGGTGTTGTTTATTTGACACCATTAATTTAATACTCAAGTTCGACAAACAATAATAATTGCTTATAATTGAGTATAATATGTTCTTTAAAACTTTCTAATATGCTAAGTATAGAAATGGTAAATTCAAGTATATATAATTGATTTTTAACAAATTAGTTTTTATAAAAATTATACTTAGTCAAATAAAATAATAAAAGTAATAAAAGATGAAAGAACTAAATAAATATATATATATATATATATATATATAAAGAAAATTATAAAAAAATTTAAAAAAGTAAAAAAAAAATATAAAGAAAATAGGTTGACTTTATTGTTTTTTCAAAATAAGATTCATCATTAGTTATCCAGATAATGTTGTTCAATCAATTATTATCTTAGATTTTCAAATTAATCAATTTAAATTCTCAATTAACTTTTTTGGCATTCTCACTCTTAATCAAAGCACATTTCCAATTAAGAGTAAGAACTTTGTAGATTAATCATAGCAAATTTAATCAAAGTACATTATTAATCAAATATTAGTATGTCTAATCATGTTTATTCATTTACCTCTTATATCAACTAAAATGCTAATTAATCAAAGTACATTATTGATTAATTCTTGTTAAAGTTTTTATCACTAATCAAAGTAGTTATTTGAAAAAATACATTCAATCACATCAAAGTTTCTAAATTTAATCAAAGTAAATTCTTGATTAAAATTAAAAACCTTTGGACTCACATGATTGATATGTGTTAGAAAAGAGATGTCTTGTATCCCAAGCCAAGAAGGGAGTGAATTGGATTTTGCTTAAAAAATTAATCATTTCAAAAGGTTTGCAAAATCTTTGGTTTTCTTGAAATCAATAAAACAACAAGTGATGAATCAGCAATAAAGGAGAAGGGATAGAGAAATATTAACTCAAGCAATTTATACTGGTTCAACCAAGCCTACACTCAGTCTTCCTTCAACACCTTAAGTTGAAGGGATTTCACTATAATGATAGAGTTACAAGAATACAAAGATATCCCATCTCAATGTACTTCTCACGTCACTTAAAATCACTATAGCAAACAAAATGTGAACACCCTCACACTTCTACCACGCAAAGAACAATCACAATTCTCTTAACACCTTGAGAACAATCCTAACTCTCAATGAGAACACACATGGCTTTCTCCCTTGGCACACTTGCACAAGAACATAATCCACAAATTCTAAATGATGAAATTGATCTTCTAAGTACACTCCAGTAGTGCAGATTCAATCAGAAGAATTCAGCTTGCTTTTTTGATAGAATATTGATGGGTTTGAAATCCAAATTGAACCTTGATTCTTCAAGACCCTTCTTGGACGCTCTTGTAATCAAAACTCAATGAAACAGTTAGTTATGAAATTGATTGCAATTGAATTGTTTTGAAACAACACGCAAGACAGTTATTTATAGGATTTTCTGAATCTTGACGCAATATAATCGATTACGAAATTTATGTAATTATTAAGTTTTGAAACAACGCACAAGACTCTTCACTACCTTTTTTAAGTTGTTTTGCTTGTTGGTTTGAGGGCAATTGTGTGTTTTTGTTCACTTTCTTCTTCCTCTCTTAATCTGCCAAGCTCAAGCTCATCTTCCCTTAACTTTTCAAATAGTGTGGTTATGTTCATAGATGTCAAGTCTCTTGATGCTAAAATGGCAGTGACCTTTGGCTGCAGCTTCTGTTTAGACTCTTTAAGATCTTGATATTGATTTCTTCTTTGTTAAAAGTCTTTCCCAAGGCAAGAAGGTGGTTAACTATGTGAGTGAACGTCTTTTGTACGTCGTAGATAATCTCACCAATCTTCATTCTAAAGATCTCATATTCTTGGATGAGAGAGTTCTTTCTTGCTTTCTTAACCTCATTCGTTCCTTCATGTGTGACTTATAGATCATCCCAAGTTTCTTTTGTTGTTGAACACATAGAGATCCTATAGAATTCATCAATAGTGAGTGTCGAGGAGATAATGTTCTTGGCTCTTACATCGCAGTGAGCTCTCTTATTCTCATTTGTAGTCCACTCAAAAAAGTCCTTGACCTTTGTCTTGCCATTCTCTATTTTAATTGGTTCAAAAGGACCATTGATAATAGCATCCCATACACCCTTGTCCACTGATTCCAATGAAATCTTCATCCTAATTTTCCAAAAAGGGTACCATCAGGAACGTTTTAACCGATTAAACAAAAAAGGTAATCGATTAAAATTCGAGTAATTTTTTAATTCCTAACTTTGGTGCCAATTTTTAAAAAATTGATCTTTTCAAAGGGTTTGCAAAATCTTTGGTTTTCTTGAAATCAATAAAACAACAAATGATGAATCAACAGTAAAAGAGAAAGGATAAAGAAAGATTTACTCAAGCAATTTATACTGGTTCGGCCAAGCCTACATCAAGTCTTCCTTTAACAACCTGAGTTGAAGGGATTTCACTATAATGGTAAAGTTATAAGAATATAGAGATATCCCCTCTCAATGTACTTCTCACCCACTTAAAATCACTATAGCAAACAAGAGGTGAACACCCTCACACTCTAACCACACAAAGAACAATCACAACTCTCTTAACACCTTGAGAACAATCCCAGCTCTTAATGAGAACACACACGGCTCTCTCCCTTGGCAAGTCTATTATTCCCTCCTTCCCCAATGTTCCCCATCCTCGCTGCACGTTGGTGGGTCATCTATAACTTCAATAATGGGAGAGACACGTTCGTCCTCTTCAAGAATGTCCCAAAGGTTCCTCAGTTGTCCCCGGTATACATCCTTGAAGATATCAAACTTACCTTTGGCTAGAGGGATGTCGTACAAGAAGGCCACTTAGGAAAAGGCCTTATCGAAGCTTGCCTGATGCTTGTTGAAGATTTCCTCCTAAGTCTCCTTCAACTAGGCTACCAAAGCTTCTTTTCATTTGGTCGATTACTTCTTCTGCTAAAGTAACTCCGCGTTCTATGTGGCGAACTCCTTGTTAAGCGTCTTCAATTTTTGAGAGGAGACGTTTACGAGAGTCTCCTCTCATAGAAGGATATTTTTTATGAAACTAAATTTGTTATTTTATGATGTGATAATTTTATATCTTCACAAAATAACGATTTAATTATATCACACAATTATATATTATATCTAAGTTTTGACCATATATTTAAATGAATAAAAGAATTTAGTTTTAAAAAATCATTTTATTTTAAAAGAATAATTCAAACAAATTTGTTTTAAAATATGATATTTAGATATTTTTAAAATTTAATATAAAAATAAAACTAAAACAGTAACCATAGGATAAAATTGGAAATAAAAATATATATATATATATATATATATATATATTTTTTTTTTTTTATAGATTATTTTATCAAATAGAATATTATTTTTAAATTTTAAAATATTATTATTGTAAAGTAATCATAAGCATGTAGTATTATGGTTATAGACCGTCAGAGTAATATCACTCACAAAACTCATTTTAGTTATGGTAAACCAATATATTTGTCCATTCCGGCTCGTATAGTTTCTTCTATTTATCTTTATGAATTATGATTTATTTATTTATTTATCGATTCTTCTCGTTTCTGTTATTATAATTCATTCGTGGCAAATTCCGCACGTGCCTTTGATTGGAGAGGGTGTCACCGACCTTTCTCTTTCTCTACGGCAAAATCATCGTGAATCGCCGTTGGCGTGGTCGTAGATAATTTGGGGTTCCTTTCCAATTCCATATTGCGAGACCGAATTCGTGCTTGGTATGTACTCGATGGTTCACCGTTTTAAGTGCGTTGCATAACCCATCAATCTATTAGGGTTTCCGTGTTCCTTAACATATATTTATTGATTCGAATTGGTACTTAGGGTTTCTTGCAGTAGTAATGTTTGATTGAATTTGTATAATTTAAATTTAATCTTCCAGTTATCAATTTCAAGCACAAGGGAATCCATGTATCGTGATTTTGTAAACCCCTTTTATTGGTTGATAGAATTTAGGAAAATTAATAAAGGTTGCTTGCATTGAACATCTATTTCTTTTTCCTGCTCTTTATAATATAGGCATCTTCATATTTCATTTTCGTCATGCCACTAATTAAGTTTTTATCCGTTAATTTACATTGAAGTGGTTGTTACTTTTGTTAAAATCATCGACGTGTTTGGTTTGTACCCTGATTACAGGGTTCTGTTTGGGATGACGAGCTAGCTGATGGAGGAGTCCTGTAAGATATTTAAGATATGTGAAAACTAAAGATGAAACTGCAAGCACATATTCCGGGGGAGATGTCAGGACAGGTACCTAATCAACCAGGGTCTCAGTTGTCTGGACTGACCCAGCTGAATGGGAATGCACTCGCTCATCAGATGCCACCTTTAGGGGGTGTTCCCCGGTCAACAATTAATATGGATTCTGAATTTCCTAGAGCTCGCACTATTATTCAAGAGGAGATGTAAGTATTTTTTTTTTCATCTGTTCAATTGAACACTTTTAGTGGGTAACCTGACTTCGTTGATTCTTCTTGGGAATTTTGTCTATATATAAGAGGTACAGATGAATTTTTTGTAAGATTGACTACCAAGATGATAGCATAAACTCCACAGAACAAGCCAATTTATTGATAGGTTCATAAAGAAAATTGATAGTTGCAATTTTCTGAAAACAGAAGTGAAAGGAAACTAATATATTTGATTCTCGATCATTATGATTGATTTTCTTTTATGTGCCGGAAATGCTTTGTGGCTCTGTTGTATTGTCTAGTTGAATATTTAAGCTTAACTAAAATAATTTAATTTAACATTTTCATAATTTTCTTGAGAATTTAAGCGTCTGCAGTGTGTGAAACAGCATTTTCTACTTGCCTGACAACATTGAGTCACACTGTCTGATGCTTCTTCATAATTTATGGTTTAATGGCTAGATTATTCTAAAAAGTAGTTGCTGTGGGATCCCTGCAGTGCATATGCCATTAAGTTAATTAGATTACTGCCTTGCTGTCTCTATTATGTTCCAATTTCCCCTCCTTTGATGTTTTGACTTAATTAATGATAATAATAATAATAATAATAATAATAATAATAATCATGTATGCAAAAAGATAAACTACTATACTTTTTTATTTATTCTCATCAGTAGATATTTTTTGTTTTTACCTTCCAGATTTGGTACGTTGTTGCGAAAACAACAGCAGCCAGTTACAGATGTACAGAGAAAGAAGCTTAAGGATCTTGCAAAGCGCTTGGAGGAGGGCATGTTAAAAGCTGCTCGATCTAAGGTTACTTCTGGTCTTCTAGTTATTTTTCTTTTTCGGTTCCCAATATTTGGAAGGATCTTAATTGTAAACACTAGAGATTTCTGATTCTGGAAATAACAGGGAGCCTTTAAACTTCTTCCTTAATTTGAATATTATTTGTGTTGACAACGGTTTGGACATATCTTTTAGGAGGATTACATGAACTTGGATACTTTGGAGAGTCGATTATCAAATTTCCTCCTACGAGCATCTATGAATAATAAAAACCAACACTATCCGCAACTTGTTAACTCTTCTCCAATCAGTACAATGATACCAACCCCTGGTATGTCACATGCTCCAAATTCAAGCATGATGGTTGCATCTTCTGTGGATGCCTCGATGATTTATGCCAGCGGGTGTAATAGCATAGCATCAACATCTTTCAATAGTGTAAACATGTTACCAGCTGGTGGCATGCTTGGCAGTACCTTAAATAGATTTGATGGTAATATTGGGTATTGTCATTCTTCACCAATCCTTACACTTTTATTTTCTTGTCCTTCATTGTAGAGTCTATGTATTGCAGGTTTGTCTAATGGTTATCAGCAGTCTTCTACCAGCTTTTCTGTTGCCTCAGGGTCGAACATTTCATCAATGGGGGTGCAGAGAATGGCTAGCCAGATGATTCCCACTCCTGGATTCTCAGTCAGCAGCAGTCACTCACACATGAACATAGATTCTAATACTAATGGAGGTGCATTTTCCAGTGTAGATTCTACCATGGTACCATTGTCACAACTTCAGCAGCAGAAGCAGATTGTTGGTGGCCAAAATAGTCATGCATTGCAGAATCTCAACAGTCAAATGGGTATTGGAATGAGATCTGGTTTATTACAGAAGCCATTTACAAACTCAAATGGTGCTATAAATAGTGGATCAGGCTTGATTGGAAACAATATACAGGTTGCAAACGAACCTGGCACTTCTTCTGACAGCTATGCCTCCACTTATGCCAATTCCCCTAAACACTTGCACCAGCACTTTGATCAAAGTCAGAAACCGGTTGTGCAAGGTAATATTTTTCTCACTCCTTTTGATTTTCTTTTATCATGGAATGACCCTAGGACCTTAACCTTCAACCCAGAACCTGTAATAAGCTTCATAATGTTTTAGGACTGTGTTGCTTTTTTTGAGTAAACACATCCATGTGTCTGTATACATATTGCATGTTCTGTATTTTTTATTTCAAAATTGACATGTTTCAGAAAGAATAACGATATTATTATCAGGTGATGGATATGGATTAAACAATGTTGACAGTTTTCCTTCTGGAAACTGTTATACATCTGCGACATCCTCTGGGCCCATGATGAACAATCAGAACACTAGTTCTGTTAAAATACCATCTATGCCTAAAACTAGCACATTGTTAAGTGGTCACTCGAACTTGCATGGTATGCAGCAGGCTGCTCATATAAAGTCTCAACAAGTTAACCAGTTAGAAAAGTTGAATTTTCAGTCTTCATTGACTTCAAGAGATGGCTTTCTGCATTCTCAACAGCAATATCAGCAAAGGTCTCAACAATTGCAACAGCCAGATCAGTATGCGCAGCAGCAATTTCAATCTATGCAAAATCAGCATGTGGTCAACAGTGACACTTTCAGTCAGTCTCAGCTTTCTCCCAATCTAGAAAATCGAGTGAAACCTGAGCCTGGAATTGAACACCGCAAAGAAGTGCTCAACTCTCGTGTCTCTGAACCGTTTCATATATCTGAGATGCAGAGTCCGTTCCAGCAGAACTCATCTGAAGATTGCTCTAGGGTTGCTCAACATCTTCCATTTCCATCTGGTCACCATGATTTATCATCATCAACACCTCAAAATTCACAACAAATGTTGCACCAACATCAATTGGCTGCAGAGTCTCAAAATAACTTTAGCGTCGGGGTGCAATCCAAATCTGTGATTCTAAACCATTGGCCTCAGTCACAAGATCCTGACAGTATTTCACATGATCAACATCTCCACGTGGATTTTCATCAAAGAATATCTGGACAAGATGAAGCTCAATGCAATAGTTTATCATCAGATGGATCTATTATAGTTAGAAATGTTCTTTCTAGAGGCTTGGCTGAGCAGCTGGAATCTGGAATTGCTACAAATAAGGCACACAGGAATCAACAGAGGTGGCTTTTATTTCTACTTCATGCTAAGCGATGTTCTGCCCCTGAAGGACGATGTAAAGAGAAGTTTTGTTCTGCTGCACAGATGCTATGCAAGCACATGGATGGATGCAAGCTGCGCCATTGTCCATATCCTCGTTGCCATCATACAAAGGAGTTACTTAATCATTTTGTAAACTGCAAGGATCCAGGTTGTCCTGTTTGTGTTTTTGTGAGAAAGTGTCGACGTGCTTTTCAATTGAAGCCTCAGATTCGGCCAGAACCTGAATCAAGCTTGCCAACTGCAGTGAATGGATCCTGTAGGCCTTACAGTATTGCAGGCACATCACCAAGATTGATCTCAAAGCCTCTATTAGTTGTTGAAACTTCTGAGGACCTCCATCCATCTATAAAACGTATAAAGATTGAGCATTGCACCCAGGCCATTTATCCTGAAAATGACCATTCTGCTTCATCTTTTATTGGAAATTGTGAATCTCTTGTTTCTAGGGATGCTCTGTCTCAACCGCTGCCCTATCCAAATGCTGAGAAGTCTATCTCAATTAAACCTGAGTTTCCAGAAGTTAAGGCCGAAGCTCCTGCAAATGTGATACATGAAAAGCTTAGTGAGATGCAAATGGATAACAATAATGCTGATGATAAAACGCCTAGTGCTGAACTTGTCAAATATGAAGAACCTGCTAATTTAGCAAGCCCTGAAAATATAAAAACTGAGAAAGAAACTGGACAAGACCTGCAAGAAAATGTTGTCCAGACATCTGAAATTCCAACTGGAACCAAGTCTGGTAAGCCAAAAATAAAGGGAGTCTCATTAACTGAGTTATTTACTCCGGAGCAAGTGAGGGAGCATATCACTGGCTTAAGGCAATGGGTTGGTCAGGTAAGTCTTTGTATTCTTGTGGCATGGGCAATTTAATTCATTATTTAAATAATATTACTTTATCTGTACTAGTGTACTGGAAACCTGTTCCCATTTACTTTAAACCTATTTAATATGTTTCTTGGTGATAATGGTTTTCCTATCTATTGTTTCTGTCACTGACTTCCTATTTGTTGGTTGAAATATGATCTGGACTTCATGTAAGTATTTTAACAGACATGTAATTCTTCATTGACTTCAGGTTTAATTGAGTTGTTTACTTAAAAAGCAGAAATAACTGCGGAGCTCACTAGTTTAAAGAAACTTTAGTTGCCATGTAAACACTCTAAAATCAAATGAGACAACGATAATCTATTTTTGGCATTACAACACCAGAGCTTTCTTATTTTAAGAATTATACATGGAAAACTTATTAGAATGAGTACAGAAAACGGTATAGTTAGAATTCCTTTTCTTGTCAACTTCCAATGGGATTCCTTGAAAGGAGGCATGTAATGAAACATGAAGTGACTGATAAAATTATATACAAAGGCGGGAGCTATCAAAATCAATGTAGGAAGCATATTTATCCAACAATATGTCCTATTTTATCTGACCCAAGCCTTGTGACTTAGTAATGTTGTTAAATGGCAGCGATATGGAACTACCATATAAGCAATAATTGAAGGGATGCCCACTATGGCATTACCATGGGCTGCATCGGTGGATTCCAAACCAAATGTCAGCTGGACATAATTTGAACTATGCTTAAGCGAGAACTTAGATTCCTTATTAACCTATTTTGCATACTTAATTCCGTCTGTCTGATAAATAGTCCTTTTTCTGGTCTACTGATTTTTGTGCATGAGACATCTATCATATATTCCATTAATTGAATCTTTTGATGTGTATGAGATGCCTATCATCTGTTCCATTACTTGAATCTTTTATCCATCTTATCTGGTCATTTTTGTGGAAATCTGTTTTCTTACAATTCAAGTGGTCCATAATCTTGATTTATACTATCTATTTAACTTCATAAAATGCTATTTTCTTAATATTGTGTGAACAATAAACCATAAAGACTAGTTTAACCATTATATTTTTCTTATCTAATTTGGCTGAAGTCGTTAGTCCAAATATATGGTCATTTGTGACTGCTGACTTAATCTTTTTTCTGTTCTCACTTTTTAACATCCTAGGTTCTGTTATTTTCTTTATCCTTTTATAAATATTTACTAGTTTTTGATTGTTCATGTGCCATGTTTCACAATGTTCTCTTATTACCTCTAGTATCCACATGTTAACATAACATCTTTTTCTTGTGACAGAGCAAGTCAAAAGCAGAGAAGAATCAAGCAATGGAGCATTCAATGAGTGATAATTCGTGTCAATTGTGTGCTGTAGAGAAGCTTACCTTTGAACCACCACCTATTTATTGCACAACTTGTGGGGTTCGCATCAAACGAAATAATATGTATTACACCACAGGCACTGGTGACACACGACATTATTTTTGTATTCCATGCTATAATGATGCTCGTACAGAGAACATAATTGTTGATGGGACTCCCATTGCCAAGTCAAGATTGGAAAAGAAGAAGAATGATGAGGAAACTGAAGAATGGGTGTGTTATGTTTGCCTGTGTCATTTTGTTGTTCAGTTAACATTTTTTTTTGTTGAATTAACCATCTTTGCTTTGTGTGCAGTGGGTTCAATGTGATAAATGTGAAGCGTGGCAACATCAAATTTGTGCCTTATTTAATGGTAGAAGAAATGATGGTGGACAAGCTGAATATACTTGCCCTAACTGCTATATTCAGGAGGTAGAAAGAGGAGAGCGTAAGCCCTTACCCCAAAGTGCTGTCCTTGGCGCCAAGGATTTACCAAGAACTATTCTTAGTGATCACATAGAACAACGATTATTTAGACGGCTAAAGCAAGAAAGACTAGAAAGGGCAAGGCTTCAAGGAAAAAGTTATGATGAGGTGATTCATATTGTGGTTGGCAGAGATATGTTTTGTTCAATTTTGTATTTCATAACTTAATACATTTAGTATATCTTAGCTCTTTCATTGTTATTTTAATACTGAAGTATAAATTGAAGGGTTGACCCTTGGATCTGTTTGTTGTGCTATCCATTAGCCATTGCTAGACACATACTCTATTCAAATTATATAGTCCTACCTGGAGAGTTTAAAGAGGAAATCAATCAATGAAACTTCGGATGTGGAGACAAGCCTCGGAAGTAGAAGGCTTTCATTTCAGTAGAAGTAATACAGAATATATGAATATAAGTTTAGCAGAAGTATCAATCCTACCATTCTAAATGTCTTGGATCCATACCTTCGGTTTAAATGTCTTGGGTCCATTATAAAGTATAATGATGGAGAAATAGATGGTGATGTAAATTGTAAAATACTGGGTAGTTGGGTGAGCGCTCTGCTCTGAGTATTATTGATGGTGAAAAGCTAAAGTAAAAAATTTAATGCATATTAGAGTTAAGAGAGAGAGAGAGATAAAATAGAATCTGAAAAGGTAACTTTTGTATTGATAAAATGTACAAAGGAAAACAAGGATTCTCTTTGTATAGAGAATGAAAAAACAGAGCTGTAAAGAACAGCTGACAAAAAAGAAAACACCTATAACAAAAACTATATCGAACTGAATGCAACACTAACACTGCCACTCCCCACCCCCACAAACTCAAGGTGGGTTATGATTAACAGGAAGAGCAACCACTTCGAATTTGTCCCTAATAAACACAAAACATGGAGAGAGAGGTTTGGTATGAATGTCAATCCACTGTACTTGTGCAGAGATATATTGATCATGTAAACATTTGGACAACTTTTTAAGGAACAAAGAAAAGATCAATATCCATGTGCTTGGTTTGAGCATGAAGAACATGGTTATGAGCTAAGGTGATTACACTTTGATTATCACAATAGATTGTAGACGATGTGATATGCCTAGTTCATTAAGAAGAGTTTGAATCCGTAGAATTTCAGGAGTTGTTTTAGCGGCTACAATACTCTGCATCTGTACTAGATCTAACCACAACTGCTTGTTTCTTAGACCACCAGGAAATGAAATTTGACCCAAGAAGAATTACAGTCTGCTTCATAGAAAGCCTGTAAGGGAAAAGGAGAGGAGAAGTCATGGGAGTAAGATAAAGACCATGTAAAAGAGTTCCTTTAAGATATCAAGAACAAATTGCTGAGGAAACAGTGCATACTGATTCACTGCCAGGTGGAGGTAGAGGAGGAGGATTATTTTCTAAATCCATGGACCACTAAGCTCTTGATACCTACTAGAGTTAAGAGAGAGAGGGAGAGAGAAGAAAGGGAAAAGAGAAACTGATAGGTAATTTTGTATTGATAAAACGTACCAAGGAAAACAAGGATTCTCTTTTTATAGAGAATGAAGAGAAATAGGGCTGTGTAAAGAACAGCTGATAAAAGGAAAACACCTGTAACAAAATCTATATCCAACTTAATACAACACTAACAATATGCAACCATGATTATTATTAGTAATTTGATAGTTATATATCTTATTTATCTTATATGAATTTATATGTAATTTTATTGTCATATTTAGTAAACCATATTACTATTATGCAATTTACATGTTTTCCTTATTCTTTCCATCCTATGTAAGATCTCGGTATTGACTACCTTGGCTATAATGCTTGTGATGTTAGATAAAACTGAGTTTTGGTAGAAACAACAGATAAATGTAGCAGAGATGAGAATGTTGAGTGGGATGAGTGGATATAGATAAGATTGGATGCATTATAAAGAAAGTTGGGGTAGCATCTTAGATAAAAAATATCTTGCCATACTAAGTAGAGAATTGGGTGAGGGGTAGCTCTATTGCTAGATGTAAAGGGGGACCAAACAAAAAAGGGCAAAACCACTGACAAGGATTTATAGGTCTGTGGCTTGTTTTCATAATATAACATTATTGATTGATCAATGTGACTCATCACTTTTACGTGGAAAGTTTTGGTTGTGGTTTGTTTTATTTTTTTGTTTTTTAATGTTTTTGTGGTTATCAATGATTTCACCCTTTTCTAGCATGTGCTGATTTTCTGTGACTTATTTCTATCTACTTGGTCATTATCAGATTCCAGGAGCTGATGCTCTTGTTATAAGAGTTGTGTCATCTGTCGACAAGAAGTTAGAAGTGAAACCACGGTTTCTGGAGATTTTTCAGGAAGAGAATTACCCAACAGAATTTCCATATAAATCAAAGGTGATGAGAAAGTTGATTTTATGAATCTGGTTATAATTGAATCACTAATGTTGAATATTGATAGCCTTAGCTTTCTATTTCAGGTAGTTTTGTTGTTTCAGAAGATAGAAGGTGTGGAAGTTTGCCTATTTGGCATGTACGTTCAAGAATTTGGATCTGAATGTCAATTTCCAAATCAGCGCCGAGTGTATCTTTCGTATTTGGATTCTGTGAAGTATTTTAGGCCTGAGGTTAAAGCAGTGACAGGAGAGGCTCTTCGTACTTTTGTTTACCATGAAATTCTGGTAAATTTGAACACTAAAATGTTGCTTGAAGTCCTTCCCTGTAAATATTTTAATTTCAGGTTATTATCTTGTAAATTATATTTGATACAAATTATTTGATTTTAGATTGGATACCTTGAATATTGCAAGAAACGTGGTTTTACAAGCTGCTACATATGGGCTTGTCCTCCATTGAAGGGTGAAGATTATATTTTGTACTGCCATCCAGAAATTCAGAAAACACCAAAATCTGATAAGCTACGTGAATGGTGAGCCCAATAGCTTCGCATAGGCAAAATGAGGAAAAGTTATCTGTTTATTTTCCTTGTACAATGTGATTAGGTCTGTTCATCTCTAACTGGGGCATTTCTAAGCATGTATCTTCAGGTATCTATCGATGTTAAGAAAAGCTTCGAAGGAAAATATTGTGGTTGATCTCACCAACTTATACGACCATTTCTTCGTATCAGCTGGTGAATGTAGGGCCAAGGTCACTGCTGCAAGACTCCCATATTTTGATGGTGACTACTGGCCTGGGGCTGCAGAGGATTTAATTTATCAGCTTCGCCAAGAGGAAGATGGAAGAAAACAAAATAAAAAGGGAACAACTAAAAAGACTATAACAAAAAGGGCTTTAAAAGCATCTGGTCAGTCAGATCTTTCAGGAAATGCTTCAAAGGACCTGCTCCTCATGCACAAAGTAATTTACTATTATACATAATGCTAATTATTTTTTTCACTCGGGAAAGAAGATCTCTTCCATTTTTTTTTTAAAGTCATTAGATATGTCACATTATATAGCTAAATTTTCAAACATAATATTGATTCCGTACTACTTTCAATATTTATTTAGGTTCCATATGTTTGCTAATTTCTTATAAAATTCATAATCATTCTTCAGCTTGGTGAAACCATTTGCCCGATGAAGGAGGATTTCATTATGGTTCATTTGCAGCATGCTTGTATCAGCTGTTGTATCTTAATGGTTTCTGGTAACCGTTGGGTCTGCAACCAGTGCAAGAATTATCAGATTTGTGATAAGTAAGTATTCTTCAATCATATCTCCATGGTTGTCATGTTACGTGTCAATTGCTATAAGTGTCAAAATTGTCTGATCTTCAACTAATAGGCTTAAATGCTTACTTCGTCCTCATGTTAAGAGGTGAATTTCTGTTTAGTACTCGGTTTTAAAAATGAAGACATTGGGTCCCCAACGACGTTAAGTCCACGTTGATGTGGCCGTACTTTTTCTCTTCTCTCTTCTGCTGTTCAGCTTTTTCCCTCTCTTGTTCAGCTTTTTCTTTGATGATTTGTTGAACTTGTTCTTTCTTTGTGAATCTTATTTATATACTTTTCATAACATGGGGAACCAATGTCTTCATTTTTAAAACCGGGTACTAAACATAAATTTACCTCTTAACCTGGGGACGAAGTAAGCATTTAACTCTCTCTCTCTCTCTATATATATATATATATTATCATAGCACCTCCTATTGTTATGTTCTTAGGGATGACAATGGGTCAGGTCGGGCACAGATAGTGCCTACCCGCAACCCGACCCGACAAAAAAGAACCACCTGCTACCCGCGTGGATATCCGCTTAAAAAATACCCGCGGATATTTTAAAACCCGCGGATATCCGTGAATACCCGCAAATATTTAAAAAAATATATTTTTATAAAATATTATGATAAAACATAAATAAAATTACAAAAAATATATAAAATATAATATATATTAAATTAAATATAAATTAAAATTTAATTTTAATTATATTTAACCTTATAAAATATAAATTAATATTAATTTTAATTAAATTAACTTAATAAAATATAAATTAAATTTTTATTTTTATTTTTTGTAGGTAGCGGATATCCGTGGGTACGGATAGTATAAGCGGGTATTAAAAAACCCGCTACCTGCAACTCGCGGATAGTAAATATCTGCGGGTACCAACTATCCGTCGTAGATTTTATCCGCGGATATCCGCGGGCGTGGATTTTTTTGTCATCCCTATATGTTCTACACTATCCTCCATAATGACTCATTTGATGTTTTTGCTACCATCCATCATCCTTTATAAGACTTGCACTATAAAAGTTTTAATGCAGAGTTGGACAAATAATTAAAACTAGCAGACTGCTGTGGAAATTTATTGTTAACATACCTTAATACCATACTTTACCTTAATACCATACTTTTTAGCGTCTTAACATCATATCTTATGATCTCATTAAAATTTATTGTTAACATACCTTTCTATGACTCTTCTCCCTTTCAATCTTTTTGCTAGCTGAGCCATTTCCTAATGCTCCAATCATTTTTCTAGTAACACATTCAGTCTTGCCTGTTCTTAGGTGTTATGAAGTAGAACAAAAGCTTGAAGAGAGAGAAAGACATCCTATTAATCAGAGGGAGAAACATACTCTTTATCCAGTAAGTAACTCTGATTTTAACATGTAATTTTGAGTGCTTCTGTACTAGTTCACTACATCTCTGCTCTGCTGTGAGATTTTATTAGGACCTGAATGTTAATCATCTTAATGTGCTTTGAGGAACTAAGTGGTTAGACACAGTATGAAGTTCTAAATTTAATCTGGTATATTGAATGTTTGGTTTTAGTTATTTGATACTCTCAAACAGGACATTTCAGTGAAAACACTCGAGTATTTTTATTTTTTACTTTTCTGAAAGCAAAATCAGCTATTCAAATACACAATCATGCAGTAGGTCAGAGTATAAGTGATTTTTGAAATTTTTTATATTCGCATCATTATACAGGTTGAAATTACTGATGTTCCATCTGATACAAAAGACAAAGATGATATTCTTGAGAGCGAATTCTTTGACACTAGACAGGCATTTCTGAGTCTCTGCCAGGGAAACCATTACCAGTATGATACACTAAGGCGGGCCAAACATTCATCAATGATGGTACTCTATCATCTTCACAATCCAACAGCTCCAGCATTTGTGACAACTTGTAATATATGTTATCTTGACATTGAAACTGGTCAAGGATGGCGCTGTGAAGTTTGCCCTGAGTATGATGTATGCAATGCTTGTTATCAAAAGGATGGAGGTATTGATCATCCTCATAAGTTGACAAATCATCCATCCATGGTGGATCGTGATGCTCAGAATAAAGAAGCAAGGCAGCACCGAGTGTCGCAGGTGTTGTATACAATTTTGTCTTTAGCTCTTCTGGGCTTTCTTATGAAAAATGGTCTTCTCATGTCAAATTTCTGTATGATGACAGTCATGTTTAAATCCCATGTCTACCTCTTTCTTGATATCACATTAAATTGAGTTGAAAGATAGACAATGATATTTCTTTGTATGAGAGGATCCATTCCTTTGTTTACATAGCATCAAAGCTATTAATATTTCAGATGTTTTATATTGTATGCCAAATAAAATTTATGTTTACAGGTATTGAAATTTGAGCATGGATAGGATTTTAACTACTGGGACATGTAAAAATTAAACAAGTTATAATTGAGTTTAAGCATTCGAAAAAAGCCTTGTCTCCACCAAGTGAGGTTGTCTCAGATTTTTGTTGAGTTTCATGTTTGATGATTTTTAAAAATATTGTAAACGGTTCAAATGGTATGCTAATTCTAATATATCACGCATTTTATAAAGAGTCAAGTCCCATGTTTTCTTCCCTTTATGTAGCTAAGTATTGTGTAGTTACTATAACAGTTAATTTTTTAATTATTTATAGTCTATAAAAAAAGCATGAAGATGTATCGGCATCTTTGCTATTCAAATACGTTGTAAAAGTTCTTTGTCATTATATTGTTTTCATTATACCATAATTTTATCTTTTTTATCAACAATTGCTTGCTTCTGTCCATATTATCTATAATCTATAACTACTATAAATCTTGCAGCTCAACCTTTCCTGCTTTTGTTCCCCTGCCTTGTAATGTTTTGCTTGTGTGTAATATTTTGTAGAAGTATGGATATTGATTTGTTCTTTTACCTTTTTCCGTGCATTTTGGACCGCTCTTGTTTCTCCAAACGTTTGTTGGCTATTACTTTCTTTTGCACTACCTTGCTTGGTGGGGACTTTAAAACTTTCTGCATACACATAGGATTTCTAATATAACTGAATTCTTTATTACAGCTACGAAAAATGCTTGATCTCCTTGTTCATGCATCCCAATGTCGTTCTGCACATTGTCAGTATCCTAATTGTCGCAAGGTGAAGGGGCTTTTCCGCCATGGGATGCACTGCAAAACACGGGCTTCTGGAGGTTGTGTTCTTTGCAAGAAAATGTGGTATTTGCTTCAACTTCATGCTCGTGCTTGCAAAGAATCTGAATGCCACGTACCACGTTGCAGGTTTGTGGATCAGGCATTTTCATTATTCTCTAGTTAACTTTTTTATAGATCTTGTTTGAATTAACTCTGTTCTTTTGGGTTAAATTAGAGATTTGAAAGAACATTTAAGGAGGTTGCAGCAACAGTCTGATTCACGGCGTAGAGCTGCTGTAATGGAAATGATGAGACAAAGAGCTGCAGAAGTTGCTAACAATGCTGGTTGAGCTGTTCGTACTTGTATATATGTGGCACTTTTGAAGATATGCTCTGGACAGAGGTATACCTTAGTTTCACCAGTGCTCCGATAGCAGTCATTGTTTGTGAATGGAATACACAGGGTGCATGTATGTAGCCTTGGAGGTGCGCATGGCCATCTCAACATGTTTGTCCCGGTGAAGATCTGAGTTCAGCCAATTACTGCTTCTGTCCTCTTCTACAAAGGACTAACCAGGTCTGGCGGGATATTTGGCGGTGCTTCTGTTTTTGTGGGCCAATTTGGTAATTCTTTGATTTTGTCAAATTACTTGTTTTTTTATGTTTAGATGCCATCCTTCGGTGGCAGGTGTACTATAGTCTCAATTTTCTTACAAATGTTTGTGGGTGGGGGATGGCATCAAGTTGTTTTTAGTTATAACCGTTTTAAAGATTCAATGCATTTTGTAGAATCTTATTTAAAGATGAAAGTAAATAATTAGTATATGCATTATTATGCTTCCTTTATGAGATTACCTCATTTGCGTATATTTTATATTTTAGTATTCTGTTTGATCTATTGCTATGAAAACTATTCTGTGAATTTTTTAAGGCTATCACTATTTTGAGATGTATATGATATGTGAAGAATGGGGCATTCATGGTGAAAGCTTCAATCGATCTGAAGTATATTGTAAAATATAAATTATTGAATCAATCTGAGTGCAGTTATAATATATTTTCAATTGTTTAAAATTGTATAATTTTTGTTTCGTTATGGGATCGAGGTTAGTTGTCACGTGTTCTAAAAATAAATTAGGAGGTTACTTGTAGAAGGTATTTGATGTCAAAGTTAATAAAAATTTGATCGTTTAAGCAATTAATGTTTATTAAACATAATCACCTATTTCTTTGTTAATAGTTTTCGAAATGGATTTCGAATTAATAGTGATTTAATTGCGGTCCAATTGATGATAATCATACTTTGTTTCAAAATTAATTAGTGTTAGTGATAATTTCTTAGTATTTGGACAATTCGGTCCATTGTTAATAGTTGATTATTTGGTCACTCGTCTATAATTGATTATTCGGTCTTATGGTATACAAGTTTCCCAAACTCAAGTCTATCTTAATAGATGAGGGAATTTATAACGAGTGATCATCTTGGTAGTATTATGGGTGGTTTGGTTGTTTATGACTGTGATACCTATGACCAAATTGTTCGTGTTGATTTGGTTCTTAAGAAAGGTTGTAACTATTGATATTGTAATGTGTCAATTTTGAATTTCCTGTGCTTTGAGAGACGAAACGTTCTATGTTCTGAATCGAGATATTACAATTTTGGGTTTAGAGTTATTTACATGTTTATGGGTTTAGGATTTAAGGTTTTGAATTTTTAGAAGTTTTGGTTTAGGATTTTTTAGGTTTAGTGTTTAAAGTTTGAGGTTTAAGATTTGAGGTTTTGGTATTTGGATTTGAGGTTTAAGGATTTAGGGTTTTTAGGGGTTTGAGGTTTTAGAGCTTGGGATTTGGAGTTTAGGGTTTGGGGTTGAGTGTTTGGGGTTGAGGTTTGAGAAGTAATTGGTTTGGCGTTCGAAGATTTAGATTTAGAGTTTAAGGTTTAAAGGTTTCTGGATTTAGGGTTTTGTGTTTGGGGTGTAGGGTTTGGGGATTGGGGTTGAGATTTAGGATTGAAGGTTAAGGGTTCAGGGATTGGGGTTTGTGGTTTTAGGTTTGAGGTTTAGAGTTTAAGATTTAAAACTTTTAGGGTTTATGGTTTTAAGGCTTTAGGGGTTTAGGGTTTGATTTTTAAGGTTTATGGTATATGGTGTAGTGTATAGGGTATATGGGGTAGGGATTATGGTCTAGGATTTTGGGTTTAGGGTCAAAAGTTTGTGGTTTAAGGTTTATGTATTTATGAGTTTAGCTATTTAGGGTTTAGGATTTAGATTTTTTAGGGTTTTGGTGTCTGTGGTGTGGGGTTTGGTGTTTAGGTTTAAGTTTTAGGTTTTAGGGATTTAAAGTTTAGAGTTTGAGGTTTGAAGTTTAAGGTTTGAAATTCAGGGTTTGAGGTTTAAGGGTTTAAGGGTTTAAGGGTTTAAGGGTTTAAGGGTTTAAGGTATATGGTTTAGAGTATGAAATTTGGGGTTTAGGCTTTTCATGTTTGTGGTATAAGCTTTTTGGAGTTTGGAGTTTGAGATTTGGAATTTAGGGATTGTGGTTGGGGGTTTGGGACTCGGGTGTTGGCGTTGGAATTTGAGGTTTTGGATTTTGTGGTTTGATGTTTTGGGTTTGGAGTTAGAGATTCTGGATTTGGAGTTTAAATTTTAAGAATTTTAGGTTTTAAGGTTTATGATTTTAGGGTTTAAGGAGTTTAATGGTTTAAGGGTTTAAGAGTTTAGGAGTTTAAGATTTGGAGTTTAGAGTTTAGGGTTTAAGATTTTTGGTTTGGGGTTGGGTTTTGGAGTTGGAGCTTGGGGTTTGGCATTTTGGGGTTGGGGTTTGGCTTTGGAGTTTGGGAATTAGAGATTCGGGGTTGAGGATTGAGGTTTGGGGTTGGGATATTGGGATTGCAGATTAGATATTGTGGACTTTAGATTGTGAATTAGGGATTAAGGTAGAGGATTGGGTTTAAGGTGTATGATTTATAGTGTATGGTTTATGATGTTTGGTGTATGGTTTAGGGTGTATGTTATAAGATTTAGGATGTAGTATGTAGGGTGTAGATTTTAGGGTCTAGGATTTTTGATCTAGGGATTGGGGTCGACTGATCAGGGTTCAAGATACAGGGTGTAGGGGTTAATGGTGATGGGTTAGGATTTAGGAGTTATTGTTTAGGGATTAGGAATTAGAAGTTAGGGGTTGAGGCTTGGGGCTTGTGTCTTTGGGTTTAGGGTATAGGGCTTGGAGTTTAAGGTTTATGGTTTTAGGTTACAGGTTTAAGTGTTCTAGGGTTTTAGGAGTTTAGGGGTTTAACTGTTAGGGATTTACGATTTGGGGTTTATTGTATAAGGTTTAAGAGTTTTATAGATTTAGAGGTTTAAAGTTTGAAATTTAGGATTTATAGTGTAGGGTGTAATGTTTTGGATGTAGGGTGTAGGGTGTAGGCTTTAGGGTCTAGGGTTTGATGTTTAGGGCTTGAGATTTAGGGTTTAAGGGATTTATGGTTTATGATTTTTTGGGGTTTTTGTTTAGGGTTTCTGGGTTTAGGGATTTGGGGTTGGAGGTTGGGGTTTAGGGTGTAAGGGTTTAAGGTTTAGGAGTTGAGGGTTAAGTGTTTAGGGTTTGGGTTGAGGGTATATGGTTTGGGTTGGAGGCATATGGTTTGTGGGGTTTGAGGCTTGGAGTTTTTGGTTTGAGGTTTGGGACTTGGGTTTAGGAGTTGGGTTTAGGGTTTAGGGTCTAGAGTTTAAGGATTAGGCATTTGGGTTTATGGGTTGGGGGTTATGGATTAGGGGTTAAGGTTTAGGACTTGGAGCTTAGGGCTTATGTCTTTGTTAGGGCTTGGAGCTTGAGGTTTAAGATTTTTGGTTTTGGGTTTTAGTTTTAAGAGTTTTAGGATTTAGGAGTTTAGGGATTTAGGGTTTAGGTGTTAAGGGTTTATGATTTAGGATTTATTGTTTATGGTTTAAGAGTTTTAGGGTTTAAGGTTTTAATGATTTAGGGGTTTAGGGTTTATAGTGTAAGGTGTAAGGTTTTTTATGTAGGTTGTAAGGTTTATAATGTAAGGTGTATGGTTTACGGTTTGATGTTTAGGGCTTGGGGTTGATTTTGTGAGGTTTTGGTTTAATATTTTTTGGGTTTGGGATTTAGGGATTTGGGTTTGGAGGTTGGAGTTTAGGGTTTAAGGGTTAATGGTTTATGGTTTGGATTTAGGATTTCAAATTTAAAGTTTGGGTTTTGGGAGTTTGGGGCTTAGGGCTTTGGGTTTGGGGTTGAGGGTTTGGGTTGAGGGTTTAACATATAGGGTTTGAAGTTTGGGGTTTTGGGGTATGAGGTATGGGTTTTGAGTTTGGCGTTTGGGACTTAGGGTTTGTGGTTTGAGGTTTGAGGTTTGGGGTTTACAGTTTAGGATTTTTGTTGTTTGTGGTTTAAGGTTTGGAGTTTTGGTTTTAGGGTTTGAGGTTTGAAGTTTAGGGTTTAGGATTTCGGGTTTATGGGTTAAAGGTTTTAGGATTTAGGTTCTATAGTTTTAGGGGTTTAGGATTTTTTGGATTTAAGGGTTTACTGGTTTAAGGTTTGGGCTTGAGGGTTTGAGGGTTTGAGGTTTGGAATTTGGGGTTTAGGTTTCAGAGATGGGCAGTGGGGTTTGGGATTGAGGTTTAAGGTTTGGTGTTTTTTGGTTTGAGATTTAGGGATTGAGGTTTAAGATTTATGGTTTAAGGATTAAAGATTTTAGAATTTAAGGTTTGCTGTTTAGGGTTTAAGGTTTAAGGTTTAGAGTTTAGAGATTTGTGGTTTTGGGGATTTTGAATTGAAGATGTAGGATTTGGGATTTGAGATTGAGGATTAAAGTTTAGAGATTTGGGTTAGGGGTGTAGGGTTTATGATGTAATTTTTATGGTGTAATATTTAGGAAGAGTGTAGAAAAGTTGTAAGAAAAGTGCAAACATGTTGTATCAAGGAGGTAGGAATGATGTAAGCTGTAAGGTGTAAGAAGAGTGTAGAAAGAGTATATGAAAGATGTAATATTAGTGTATGAAGGGTGTAATATTGGTGTAAGGAAGGGTGTAATAAGAGTGAGAGTATACGGTGTAGAAAAGGTGTAGGAAAGTTGTAGGAAGATTGTAGAATGTGCATGAACGATGTAAAAAATGTGTAGGAAGAGTGTAGAGTGTAAGGTATAGAAATGGTATAGAAAGAGTGTGAAACAAGTGTAGAAATGATGTAGAAAGAGAGTAACAAATGTGTATGAAATGTGTAGAAAATGTGTAGGAAGAGTGTTGGAATGATGTAGACAGGGTGTAGAGAAGGTATAGGAATGATGTATGAAGGGTGTAGAAAAGATATAGGATGTAAGGTGTAGGAAGGTTGTCAGGTATACGATGTAGGAATGATGTAGGAAGGGTTTACGTAGAGTGTAGAAAGGGTGCGAGAGAGCGAGAAAGGGTGCGAGAGAGCGAGAGAGTGTGGGAAGGTTACTAGAAAGATGTAGGAAGGGTGTATGATGTAGGAAGGGTGTTGGAAGGATGTAGGAAATGTGTACGGTGTAAGGTGTTGAATGTATGTAAGAAAGGTGTATGGAGAGTGTAAGAAAGATGGGGGAAAGTGTATGAAAAGTGTGGAAAAGACATTGAAACAATGTATAAAGAATGTAGAAAAGATATAAAAAGGGTGTAAGATGATTGTAGGAAGTGTGTAGAGTGTAAGTAGGGTGTATGGTGTGAGGTGTTGGTTAGGTGTAAAAAATGTGTAAGAAGGATGTAAAATAGGTGTACCAAGGTTGTAGGAGAATTGTAGAAAGGCTGTAGGATGTACGATATAGGAATGAAGTAAAAATGGTGTAGTAATGGTTTAAGAAAGGTGTG